GGGGGAAACTGGGGCACAGAGAGACCCCCCCCCCCCCTCAAGACCCCGCTCAGTGGTGGCAATGGGGATGCACTGGGCCACACAAGCAGGAGGTACCTGGAGCACTGTGCCATGCTGAGGGCAACGCTTCCCCTGGGAAAGGTGCTCCAGATCTGGCCTGTCCCATCCCCTCTCCCCATGTCAGCAGGGATGGGGGCACTGCTGGCGCAGAGCGAACTATTGGCTTAATTAATTTTCTGTTATTTCTCCTAACGAGCTGGGATGTGGAGCGGGCGCTTCCCTCGGTTGGCAGCCAGCGCATTCCCCCGCCCCGGCAGTGAGCCGGGGGTGCGAAGCCTCCAGGCACTGCTCAAAACAGACCGTGTGTAGGAGGGAAAAATTACACCCCGGGAAAAATCCCTCCCCAAGCCAGCGCCTTAACCCACTTCCCAGCTGCAGTGCTGGGAGAAGGGAGTCAGGCATTTGGGGAAGGGGAGAACCACCATGAGATTGGGGCAGCTCCTCCATGAGGTCCCTGTGAAGGGCTGAGCCAAGTCCTGGACTATGCTCAGACCTGATCCTGCTTCCAGCGAGGGAAACTGAGGCAGTGGCACTGGGGAGGGATGGGATAGCACAGCAATGTGGGCAGAAAGGTGATGCCTCCTGCTGCTGCTGCTGCTGTTGGAATTGTTGTGGGACCCCCACACTACTGCCAGAAGTGAGAACAGAAACTGGGGAGACCTGAAGGGAAGGGAGGAAAAAGAGGGTGGGATGCAAAGGAGGGAGCTGGGGTGCCCCTGCCTCTCAAAGCCACCCAGCCACCATGGCACAGGCAGGGCCCAGCAGCATCCTTTCCTGCCAAGCCTGCCTGCAGAAGGGCAGAGCTCACTGTGATGCTCCATCCGCAGGATCAGGGTGTAACAGGAGTGGGGTGTGTGCCCCCACCTCTCTTTGGTGTGGGAGGGGGCTGGCAGGAGGCTGCGGCTGCCGAGGCGGAGGCAGCGAGGCACAAACGCGCGGGTGGCAGCTCCTGCACCACCAACACAACAGTTGGTTCTTCCCCGTGAGCCAGGGAGGCTGGGGGAGAGGAAGGGGCTCACATCAGCCCCCAGAGAGACAAGGGGCTCCTCCAGCCCCGCTACTGGGCAGAGCTGGGCTGGGGATGGGTGGCAGCTGCTTTCAGGGATGTGGGGGTGAAGGCGGCTGGTGCCAGGAACAGCAGAGCTGCAATGTCAGTCCCACTGTGAGCTCCTGAGAAGGGCAGAGCTGCACCAAGGAAGAGCAGAGTGGCTCCTGGGAAGGGAGAATGGCCCCTGGGGAGGGAGCAGTTCCTGGGAGACAGCAGAGGTGGCACTGGTCCTGACAGGGAAGCTCAGGTGGATGCTGTCCCTGTGGGTGTCAGCCCCGGAAAGGACACACAAGAGCTGTCTGCTTCCTACAACACTGTTAGGGATGTGCATCCCACAGGATAGGAATCCAAATAACACCAAAACCCCGGGATGGAGGTGTAAGGTCCAGGATTTCAGTTGTGTGACCAATGCATCAATGACACACGGTGACATCTAAAACACGAGGGGATTGTGCTTTGGTGGCTGAAACAAGACACAAAAGGTCATGGAGTCACAAACATCATACAAAGAAGGAATTTCTGCTGGAGAGCCAGGCATGGATGAGGGATCCACACAGAGAATGAGCAGGTGGGTGCTGGTCCCTCATCCTGGCCACAGATGGGGACGGGGTGGCCGAGCCACCTCTCGCTTGGTGACGTCCCCCTGAGGCAGTGCCTGCGCCGGCAGCTGGCGCGTCCCCACGGCGTCCCGGCACGTGCTCAGGAGAGCAGCAGGAACCGGCAGGAACGGGCAGGAATCAGCAGCCGGCCCTGCCAAGTTTCCTAACGCAATTTGCAAACGGCTGCGAGGACGTGGCCAAGCCGGAGCCGGAGCGGCAGGGCTGCTGGGATGCGGGATGCAGAGCGGCAGCACTGCGGCACACCAGAGCCAGCCGGGACCAGCGCGGCACAGCTGCGGTGACAGTCACCCCACGGGGTCAGGAATCCCAAAGGGGACACACAAGGCTGCTGTGAGGAAGCGAGGAGCTGGAGTAGGTCTGAGGCGCTTCCTTGTGAGGCCGGAGCCCAGCCCGGTGCGCTGGGGCGGGTTCCAAAACCCTCCACAGCCCCAGCAGCAACACCCAAGTGCTGGGAGCAAACCTGGCCCTGCCGAGCTGGTTTGGGTGCTGGCTGGGCTGCTCGGGCAGCGTCGGGGTGCTGGGTGCCCACAAGCCTCCTCCTCTCTCTGAGGGAGCGTGGAAACATCCCCTTGTGCTGCTGGGGGTGGCAGGGATGGGGGTCACCCTTTGCATTCCCCCCTGAGAGCTCAGAAACACCAGTTACCAACAGTTTGCTGGGAAAAGAATCTCAGGAGAAGCTCCTAAGTTAAGTGGTTCCTGCCCAGGCAGTGCATTCCTGACAGCTTCCCACGGTTCCATTGCCTTTCCCCTGCTCCAGAAGTGGCAGAAATCAACTTGCTAATTGAAAAGGGGATTGAAAAGAAGAACGAACTGGGGTGGGGGGGATGTCACTGCTGCTTACCCAAACAAATAAAAACAAAATACCCAAAAGAAACAAATCAGCTTTACTGAAGGAGCTGCTTCATTCCTTAAATAAAAACAGAGACCACGATCAAGCCAGCGGAGTTTGACATCCCAGGAGGGAGAGGGGAACGTTTAGTAATGGGAAGAAGTTGGGAGAAGTGGCCAAGGACCGACTCAGGGGTTGGTTCTTTGGCGGCCCCAGCACGGGGGAGAAGGGGAGTGGGCAGCAGCGAGATGGATTTTGGGAAGGCACCACTCAGGCCATGGGGTAAGTGCCTGGTCCTGAGCACAGTGCAGGTGGCTCATCCCGCTGCCTCACCTCCACGCAGGGAAGGAGCCATTCCAAGGAGCAGCTTCCTCCTTGCCGAGGGGCCGAGTCTGGTGCTGGGATTCCTGTGGCCGTGTCCCTACGTGTTGCTCCTCTCCTTTGATTTTTCACCTTTGCTGTCCTGGGAGGGGGGAAAGAGGGAAGAGCAGCAGAGGTTTAGGGCCCCCCAAACCCCTGCATGGGGGGAACAGTGTAATGGCTGGGTCATGCCAGCAAGAGCCCACCCTGGTTGGCAACCCCCAACACCCTCCTCTCTGGGCACAACCAGCCCCCTGTGCCAACCTCTCCTCATGGTTCCAGATTTTTCCATCACGAGGCCTTTCCAGAGCCCCTCCATCTGACAATTTGCTTCTCAGCCCTCTCCATGTACAGGAACCCACCAGCACATGCCTGCCCGGGTCTGGGCTTGCTTGGCTCCCATACATGAAGAAGGTATGGAAAGGGAAACCAAAAACACACATGGCATTCCAGCACGCTCACACATGCACAGCTCACAGCACTGGAGCAAGGAGATCATTCCCAGCACAGGGAAACATCCTAAAAAACCTTTAACTCTACTGCCTGTATTATCTGCTGAGTTCTCAGTGTTTATCCTTGCAGAGAACTCCCTGCCTCCTAGCTCCTCCAGCCACGGCTGGATTTTTCCCTCTCAAAATTGTCCTATTTTCTACCCTGAGCAAATAAAATAAAAAAAGAGCCAACTTCAGACTTACTTTTTACGTGGTTTTAGTTTTAAAGATTTAAGTAACTCAAATTAACTGGAGCCCTGCTTACCACCTGCAACGAGAAGCTGAGGTTTGGGACAGGTCAGAGATGAGACAGTTTGAGATTTCCCCTTACAACAGAACAACGTTATTTTTTTTTGGGATGGGAGAGGGAACTGCAGCCTCACACACACACCAGTGACATCACACACACACAAGGAGCAAAGGTGAGGGGATGGTACCTCTGGAGGGGGTGGCTTGATGGTCACAGGCTGGGACGTCCGGCGGGGCGGGGAGGGCTTGGGCTGCACCTGCTGCTGGACAGTGTTGTAGTAGGTGACCCCCCCATAGACCTGGGACTGCGCCTGCAGGAGCAGCAGGATCAGAGCTCCGGGCTGGGGGGCCCTGCCAGCCCCTCCTGGCACCCACTGGGGCTGGGCAGCTGCCCCCAGCCAGAGCAAAGAGGGGCCGTGCCCCCCAGAGATCAGCCTCTGAAGCCTCTTGTGTGTCCCCATCCCTCACCAACGTGCCCCCATTCTGGCAAGGACAGGACACAGCCTGTGCAGATGGGATTCCCTCACCCTGCAGTCCATGGAATGTCTGAACTTCCCAACAGCAGCTTTTCTGCTTGGGCACAGCTCCCCTGCACATTCAGCCCTGCAGCCTCGAGGAAATCTGCCCTCAACGCAGGGTGAGGTCCTGCTGGGATGAGCTGGAGCAGTGGGAAGGGCAGGGACGGTTGGGAGCTCAGGGAACATGCAGCTCTCCAGCCTTCCACAGCGTGTCAGCCCTGCTCCAGTCACAGCCTGTCAGCCCTGCTCCAGCCACAGCACCAGGATCTGGTCTGCTCTGGTCTCATCTGCCTTTTTAAGGATCTGGTCTGATCTGTCTCCTCAGGGATTAGGTCTATCTGCCTCCTCACAGGGATAAGATCTGGTCTGATCCTCAGAGAGATCCAATCTGCCTCCTCAGGGATCTGATGTGATCTGCCCCCTCACAGGAATGTGACCCATTCCCTGCAGGATCTAGTCTGATCCTCCTCCTCAGGGACCCAATCCAATCTGTCTTCTCACTGCCCAGCAGTGACCTGAGCAGGGCAATGGAGCATGAAAATCCATCCCCATGCTACTCACACCAGCCAGTCCCCAGTCTCATCTCAAACAGAACTGACTTCCAAAGCCATTCCCAAGGTACCCTTGGCTCAGCAGGGCCCTGGAGGGGCTGTATCCCTGTTCCATAAGGGAACACCTCAATTCCATACCCCCCCAGGACAGGACTTCACCCACTGCCTGCCACTCTCGGGGAGCTCACAGCAGCCATGAGAACAATCCTTTCTGGGATGCCAGCAGCATTTCCCCACGGAGCAGCTGTGCTGTTCCACATCCTCTCCCAGGAACACCTCGCAGAACACACCCCACACTCCACAACACCCCACCTGCTCCTGCCTGGGAAGGAGCCACGGCGCATCCGGCTTACCTGCGTGTTGGAATAGAGATGAGGAGGGGGCGGAGGGGGCAGAGCTCCAGGGGGGTAGGGGTAGCCAGGATTCCCGAAATTCATCACTCCAGGGGCGGAGAAGTAAGTAGGAGTGAGCAGCTGCTGCGGCGGGGGCTGGCCCGGGGGCATGGACACTGGTGGGGGGTAGAGGCCGGGGTTTGCCATGGCAGGGGGCGTCTGGTGGGGGTGTAAACCTGGAGGTGACAGGAAGCACACCGATGTCACCCAAAAAGCCAGAGCGTCCCTGGGTAGCAGCAGGAGCTGCTCCAAGGGTTCCCTGCAGCCCCACGCTGGGGAGGGAGCAGAGAGCAGAGCACAGCCCCCTCCCCAGTTCCGGATTCACCGGAACCAGACACGGCCCCGTGGTAACTCCACTGCAGGAAACAATTTGTGTGGGCAAGCAGAGAACGTGTTAGACAGCTCCCAGTTCTGCTTTTTCCTGAGCTACAGGGCCAGGGAGTGAGGAACCAGCCCAGTGCCCACGGAAGGGAGCGGCCCAGCCTGCTGAGGCCCCACAGGGACCTGCAAACATCCAGCTGGGAGCTGCCAAAGGTTCAGTTCCCCTTGTCCTGCACTGCCTGGAAGCTCCAGAAACACCTATTTTTTCTTTCCTTAAAACTGATACTAGTTCAGCCTCACTGCAAGAAAAAGCAGGTCTCTTCCATGTTGTAGAAATTAAGGAAAATGGATTCCCCTCTGTGACAGAGGCTGTGGGAAAGCAGAGCTCTCTGTTCCCCTGGTCCAGGGGTGTCCCACTGGCTCCTCACCTGGATGAGGGAGGTGCATCTCCGGCTGCACAATCATCCCTTGGGGCGGCAGCGGGGCTGGGTTCTCACCATGGGCGTAGATTGGTCCCTGGAATTGTACTGCAACAACACATGACAGGCTGTGAGGAAAAGCTCCATGGAATTTCATTCCCCTGCAGCCGGGCACACACAGCCCAGCCCGCCCCGAGGGCTCCCACGGCACACAGAGGCTCCTGGGCTCACAGATGCAACATGCTCCCTAAAGAAAAGCCTCCTACTCCCTTTAGAAAGCAGGAAAATACTCAGGGAATTTCTTCTCTAACACTTTAAATGCTGGAGGGAATTCCTAATCCATCCCCAGTTCTGTTCTCCCCATGCTCAAACGTCAAAGACCTGATTTAAAGTTCAATTTAAATCCCAGTTCTCGGGAAGAATTGGGGTGTCCTAAGAGCCCTGGCATAGAGAGGGGATAACTCTGAGGATAATTCCATGGGTTTAAACACAACCAGGCAGGCTCCCAGCTGCCATTTAGACACTGTATGAGAGGACACAGTGCCACTACAACAAACAAAAGAGAAGACAAAGTCCCAACCCTGAAAGGAATGGGGGGAGATCTCTGTTCCAGTTGCTCAGCTCCGAGCACACATGGAGCAGGGATCACATGGAGCCACAGGAGCAGGAAGGAAACACTCACGTGGGTCGTAGTAGTGCCCTTCCACGATGCTGATGTGCATGGGGGGCGCAGGCTCTGGCACGGGGGGTCTCTGCCGCTGCGATGAGTAGCGCTTCACACGGCCCCCCGGCACAGCCTGCGAGAGTCCAGGGATCAGGGGGGCTGTGGGACACCCCCCAACACCCAAACCTCCCCTGGGTCACCCCCAAACACCCCCACAAGGGAAAGGCTGAGGCATCGACAGCCTGTAATTACCACTACCCCAAAGCAATTAGAGCCCGTGTCCCGCGCGCCGCGGAGCCGGAGTCACGCTCCGGGATCACGCGTTACCATCTCCTCCATCCGGTTAAACTGCGGTGGTGGCCCAGTTCCCACGTGCATATGGTTGGGAATACCTGAGGAAGGAACAGACTGGTTATTACTGTGGTTTGTGTTGGTTCCCAGGCTGGAGCTGCCTCGCCCGGGGGCGTGGCTGTAGCTCAACTCCTGCTCCCATGACATGGAACCTTTAGACTTCATGGCCACAGTGATTTTAAATATTTTGGGATAAATTAGAGGCTGTTGTGGCGCTGCACATTCATTCAAGGTGCTCAGCAATGCCTAAATCCTGCTTCAAAACTAAATCCCCAGCTTGAAACTCAGGTCCTGCTCTGAGCTCTGTCTGCTGAGACACAGATCTCTTCCAGGTGGATCAAGGATCCATGTGGAATCTGAAGCTGCAGTTTAAACCCTCTGCAGGTGTAAACACTTTTATCACAGCCTCCTTTGGATTCCAACAGCAAACTGAATCCGTTTGAATTCACAGCAAAGTGAATTTTAAAACATGGCTTAAAACCACAGTGCCAAGGTGATCACAGATGATTCCAAGGGAGTGAAAATGGGTAAAAGAAACACAGGAAGTGCTCATGGATCACTGACAGGGATACAGAATGGACTGATGGCACCTAAATGCTTCCCAGAATAACTCCTCCCTCCTCTGCTAGGGACAAAAAAGGGACAGCAGAGTCATCATCCTTCTCACAGCAGAACATGATCGTGTACCTGCAGCCAAGAGGTGGCCTGTGGGAAATTTGGGAAGATGCTTCATTTTTGTGCATTAAAAAAACCCCTAAACCAGACAATCTCATCACTTTTGAACTCTCATCCCACTGTGACGTTTCCAGCCTGTCCAGGGGTCTGTTCTCACAGACTTCACAGTCCCACCAGTACCAAATGACTTCTGGTTCCATGACCTCAACTTCACAGACTCTTATGAAAGCAGCAAGTCGCCTCCTTCTCCTTGCTCCAGTTTTGCTCCCCTCGGGAAGCATTCTAACACTTCCCAGAACAATCTCTAATTCTGCAAAGGGATAATTATACCTGGATGACCTCTCTGTGGATGTGCAACTGGAACTGTCCTCAGCTGGCACCAGAGTTACTCTGTCCCATGTTCCTCCCTCCTCCCAGGCACAAAGGGATTTGCCAATCTCAGCCAGGCCTCAGCTATTGGCAATCAAATCCCAGAGCCAGGAAATGAGCTGATAAACAGGAAGAAGTTCCTTTCTGCTCCGAGCAGGACACCACAGAGCCAATTATTGATCCTTATCTCGTGCTCTCCTGCAGCAGGGGTCAGTCTTGCTGTGATTCACATCACAGGGAAAGGATCCCTTCTATCCTTCCCAGCCCTAATTCCATTCACCCACACAAAAATGTTTAATTTCCCTTTTCCTTTGCTGTTGTATCCATACTGCAGCACATTCTCAGCAGGAACCACCACTCTGCACCCACCCTGGGACAGGGCTTGGACAGAAACAGCTCAGCTCTGACCAACTGCACAGTTCAGGAGGCACTGGGCTGCTGGAAAACCAGCAGGCTGCTCCCACTTACCCCTCAGCTCCCGGGGCGGGATGAACTGGGACTGCCCCGGGCTCCAGTTCTGCTCTGTCAGGTTCATCTGAGTCATCTCCTGCTCAAGTCCATCCACGCTGGATTCCACTGCTGACTCCCAGTTGCTCTTGGCTGGCGGGGGGGAGGTCTCAGCTGGCGTGGCTTTTGGAATCACAGGAGCCAGCCCCTCAGAAGCAGGCACTTCCTCTGCCAGCTTCCCTGCCTCCCCAGCCTTGACTCTGGTCCTTCTTGCCCGGGAATAAGATTTCTTCTCCACTGGTCTGTCCGGTGGTGGCTGCACAACATCAGCACCTGTGGCTTGGTTTTCCAGAGCTCCCTCCTCCTTCCCAGGGCTACCATGGACATGTCCCACCTCCAGCTCAGGGGACGTGTCCCTTGATGGGCTCTGCTCTGCGTGCTTCCCACGGTAGCCACCCTCCTGCTTGGCTTGTTCCCCGTTCCGGTGCAGGACAGTCGCCTCTGAAGCCCGGTAGCCTGGACGGGTCTCCTTGTAGCCCCCCATCCTGGGGTAGTTCCTGGCAGAGGGCATCCTGCCAGCGTTGGCAGAGCTGCGGCTGTTGAAGGACCGTGGGGGAGCCGAGGGGCTCTTGGCACCCTGGTGCCTCGGGGGCTTGGGGGGCCTCTCGTTGGACCAGTTGGGGTCTCGTTGAGGGGGACTGCCAAACCTGAGGGAGAAAAATAGAACAATTCATGAGAAAGAAACCCTTGGGTGGGAAGAATCACTTGTGTCAGGAAACAGCTTCCCAGCACCCACATCTAGAAACCCCAGGAACATGGTCCCACATGACAGAGCTTTTCCTCTTTAGATCTCCAGACCTGGCCCCTCTCCCCAGGACAATCCAGGCCCTGGTGTGACTCTGGGGCTCACCGTGGCTTGCGCATCCTCCGGGGTTTGATGTCGTCGGGGTTGTGGGCTGAGCGGATGTCGTACCCGTACAGAGCAATCAGCTCCTGCCTGGTCTTGGGGGCCTGCTCATCCTCACGGAACTTGTCGTGTTCCCAGCGCCCCTCGTCCTTCCACAGCTTCCGCTGACGGCCCTTTGGCCTGGAAAAGGGACACAGGGAGAAGCAAGGGGCTGTAAGGTCAAGATGTGGTAGTTTTGAGCAGTTCCACACAGAGCTTGAGCATTCCTGGGGCAGGGAATGCACAGGAGGCAGCATCCTTCCTTCCTCCTGCTCCTCCTGCCCAGCAGCTGCTGGTGACCCACTGCTATTTGGGAAAAGCAGCTGGAAGAGTCACTGCTGCCTGGCACAAGGCTTTTTTGGTGGGTTTTGTGCATCACTCCTTCAAAACAAAGAACTGAAGTGTCCTGCAGGACATAGCAGCTAATGGAAGCACAGACTTCTCAGTGCATCCCACTGAAGCTGCCAGAGGCTGGTCTGGAAGCTGGCCTGTCCCTCCCAGAGCCCCAGGGGGACACTCACATACCTGACCTCTTCCTCCTGCGTCTGCCCTCGGAGGTCATGCTCAAAGAAGAGCCCCTTGCGTGGGATGTACGCCGGGTTCTTCCGATCCTCATCGTCATCCAGGTGCTTGGGAACCTTCTTCCCAACTTTCTTCTCCACAGGCTCCGTGCTCTCCTGTCAGAAGCAGGGAGCTCTCACCACTGCAGCAGTCCTGCTGCCAGCCCCCAGCCCGGAGCCGTGGGACACCCACCTGCCCGTCCCCGCTCTGCCGCTCGCCCGTCACCGCTCCCTTGGGATCCACCTTCTCATTGCCCTTCTCCCCTCTGGCTGCCGACTCGCAGGAATCGTTGCTGTCCTGCTTCAGCTCCACCTTGGAGCTTTCTTCCTCGCTGTAATCCTCTTCCTCTGCCTGGGAGACACCCAGTGACTCAAATGTGCTCCGTTACCAACAGATATGTCAGGAATCTCCCCAAATCTGGAGTCAGATCCAGCAACAGATTGCCCAGAAATTCCCTCAGTTCTGGAGTTAGATCCCTGCTCCAGCTGTTAGACACGACTCTTCCAAAGCAGATGATTAGCCCCTAAAATTCTTCCTATCCCCGTGTTTTTACAGAAAAAGCAAAGGTTAAACCCAACCTCTCTCAAGAGAGGGAGGATCCAGCAGGTTTTCTGGAATGGAGCTGGGATCAGCTGCCCCACAAAGATGTGACATCCCACCACCCCAAAAAGGCTCCTGCAGACTGGGAAGACTGGTGATCTCAGGCCCTTCCTTCCACACTGAGGGCCCGGATCCAGCCAGGGCCACGTTTCCAAATTCCCTGGAGTTCCTCAGCTGACTCACTCTGCTCAGGAGCATGACCTGGTTTCACCCCCAGGAGCCTCCGGAGGCTGGAGCCGAACTAAAAATAGCTCGGGGTGATTAACCAAACCCTGCTCCATTTTCCTCTTTCAACACAGCCCTTGCACATCGGCTGCTCCTGGTGTTTACGCTGGGGAAGCCCAGGCTGGGCATTATTTTTAGGTACAGGAACAGAGTCATCCTGGCACAGCAGTGATGCAACAACCCCGCTGCCTCCACTGGGAGCCTCCATGTGGGATTCCAGGCTGGAAGAGCTCTGGGAGCTGCCCCAACACCTCTGCAGCCTGCAGTGCTCCCTCCTTGTTAATACCATAGATTAATTCCCAAACTGAGATTAATTCCCAAATAAACAGCTTGGATTTCCTCTGTCTGGTGGTTTGGATGGTCTCTAGCCACTGTTTCCCTCAAGATTCGCAAAACACAGATGGATTTTCCTTAGGAAGCCTTCTTAGGCACCAGAACTTCTCTAAACTCCTTGTAAATCTCAAACTTTAGAGTTCTGAACTAAAAATCCAGTGGAACCTGCAGCCCCCAGGCACGGGTGGGATGGGATTCCTTCAGCACCCCCCAATTCCCAAAGTGCACCCCCCCTCCGGCTGCTCCCTCAGAACAGAGGGAAGCCCCTGGGATGCTCCCAACCACCACTTTGCTTTTGAATTCCAACTAATTAAAACCCAACAAGCATCCCACACTCCTCCCACGCCCTTCCTGGCCATGGCAAATCCAGTTCCCAGTGCGAGGAGCCAGGAGGGTTTTCCCTTGCACATGCTGGCCCTGCACCCTCCCCAGCAGCACAGAGACACTGGTCCCAGTGCCAAGGGCTGGGAGTGGGGGAGGCCATTTCCTCAGGAGACAGAGGAAGAGATCCAAGGACACAAACTGGGTTTGTGCTGAAATTCCATGGGAATCAGGAGCTCAGCAGGACAGAGATCACCTTTACCTCCGAGTCCTCGGCGCTTTCGTAGTCAGAGAGCACGGCTGTGGGGAGGGAAGGGAGCTGGGGTCAGGGCAGGGCTGGACAAGGCTCCTCTGCCATGGGACCAAACCCCTTCCCAAAGGGAATTCAGATGCCAGCACCACCCTGGATCAATGCCACAGCCAGCTATGGGGAGCAGGGAAGAGTTTAGGACACTGTCCCTGTACCCCACATTTGCCTGCTGTTTACAAGTGAATATTTGGCATGGCAACAACCACAGGATTGTTGGAAAAGCTGTTTTGTCTGGTTTTTACTTTTTTTGCACATAAAGAACCCTGCCCAAGAGACATCACTCACCATCTCCTTCAATGCCATCCTCACTTTCCTGCAAAGAGAGAAAAGTGAGGGGTGTTAGAGGAGGGGAGGGCAGCAGCCAGGTCCTAGTAACATGGAATAATGGATTCACAAAACCACAGAATAATGGAATTGTTTAGATTGGAACAGATCTTTAAGATCAAGTCCAACCTTCAAAAAGCACAGTCCCATGTCACCACTAAACCATGTCCCCAGAAGCCACATCCACACTTTTTGTACACTTCAGGGAATTGGGCAGCCTGGGCCAGTGCCTGACCACCCCTTCCATAAAAAAAAAAAATTATCTCAGAACATATTTTCTTAGTATCTACTATCCTAATACCTTTTCCTAACAGCTGTTCTTTTGTCCTAATGTCCATTTTCCCTAATACTCAGCATCCCACAATCCCACACACGGTAACAGCAAGGTCTGACCCTGACCCTATTGCATCCACCCTTGGAAGTTCAGTTCCAGCGACCAAGAAGAAACAAATTCCAGGCTCCCAGAGCCTTTCTAAGGCTCCAAGAACCTTCTAGAGCAGCTGCAGTAGGGAATATGGAGAGCAAAGCACAGTCTGCCAGTGCTGGGGCTCTCCAGGGAACGAAGTGACAGTGACAGGGGAGCCAGGATCCCTCCCTTGGCAACCAAGAGCCAGGGAGAGGGCAAGAACAGGGAATAACAATGAGAGGCTGAGCAGGACCCAGCTCAGGGAAGAGGCTGGAAGAAGCCAACAGCTCAGAGCAGGAAAAGTGCTCAGTAAAACTGCTGCCCAAGAGAAGCTGTGGCTGCCCCATCCTTGGAAGTGTCCAAGGGCAGGTTGGACAGGGCTTGGATTAAACTGGGATAGTGGAAATTGTCCCTGCCCATGGTAGAAGGTGGAACTGGATCAGCTTTAAGGCTCCTTTCAACCCAAACCATTCCATGATTCCAGCGTAAACACAAAGATCAACCCAGCTGTACAGAAAAAAACAACCCGACCAAGGTGACAAGATAAACCCAAAACCACCACAGAAAAACACCCAGGGAGCCAGGGGAAGCTGGAAATAGCCAGCCCTGGAACCTAAAACAGGAAAGAGCTGGAAATAACCACAATCAGAACCCAGACCAGGAGGGAATTGCGCCTGGATGTGAACTGCAAGAACAGAACTGCATGGTGGGGGGAGACAGCAGCACCCACACCCCCCTGCCCTTGCTGCAGGGACCCCAGGAGCAGGGACAGCACCCCAGGAAAAGGGACAGCACCCCAGGAGCAGGGACAGCATCCCAGGAGCAGGGACAGCACCCCAGGAGCAGGGACAGCACCCCAGGAACAGGGACAGGATCTCAGACTGGAGAGATCCAGGCACAGGGAGCCAGAGCCCCTGGCCCTGGGGGGCTGCAGTGCCCACCTGAGGCTGCCCCAGCCCAACTCTCCCGCACACATCATGGGGGGGTTCACCCCAATTCCCCCAATTCCTCAGACTGGTGCTCCCTCAGCTCCCCACCCCCCACTTTGTCCCCAGTGTCCCCACACGCTGCAGGTCCTAATATCAGTCGCCCCGACACCAGAGCCCCCCAGCCCTCACGCTCCTCTCCAGGGCCCCCTTGCAGACCAGGACCCCTCTCTCAGCGCCCCTCAAAGAGACCAAAACCCTTCTCTCAACCCTCCTCAGAAACCAGAACCCCTCTTTCAACCCCCCTTAGAGACCAGGACCCCTCTCTCAGCCCTTCCTAGAGACCAGGACCCCTCTTTCTGCCCTCCTCAGAGACCAGGACCCCTCTCTCAGCCCTCCTTGCAGACCAGGACCCCTCCCCTCAGCCCCCTCCCTGCCCTGGATCCTCAGTGTCCCAACTCCCCCGCCTTCCCCTCGGGGTCCCCAGCCACCCGAACATCCCTCAGTCCCCTCCCTCCTTTCCCCAGGACCCCCAGCCTCCCCCCGATTCCCCCAGAC